TTAGGGACTCTCTGCCACAACAAACAACCTTCTAAAAAATCTAACACCCTGAGACATCAAACAAACCTCCCACGACACTAATGTATGGCATTCCTATTGTCCAATAGGTTTGCCCAATTTAGACTTCTAAATAAATGAACTTTTCACCATTAAACCAAAACTCACAATCATTAACAGTTAATGCAAAGACATACATTTCTGAGGCCAATCACAGCATTTAAGCATAATTTTTAGTTGAAAAGAACAACTAAGTATTTAGCTAAATGATATAGTAGAATGGACACAATCGGCTACCTACTAATGATATAAACGTGTACTGGTACCATCGTTGTATCCTGACTTGCCATTTGCAACGGGCACTTTGAAAGACAGCTGCATTTTAGAGAATAAACACCCATAAGGGCGTTACGAAACCAAGCTTAATCCAAAATCTTCATATTCCACTTCGAAGACTCCATTTTCAAAAATAAGAGAGTTTAACATGTCAAATCACTCATTTGAAAAATCTCAAACAACTATTAATCAATGCAATATAAAGGCACGTTCCAAATTATATACTTGTAGGAATAATCCAAAATAATTATCAATTAATGCCCCAACTACCTAATGTGCAGAATAGCCCTGTAGTTGTGCTGTTGTTTGCGTTGGTCTACCTTCAAACATAACATAGTTGCATCACGAACCAAAGCAATTAAGCAAAAATCTTCATATTTCAAGTAGAATGACTCAATTCAATTTGGCCAACGCTTTATACATATTGTTTACCCCTGGACCTGTTGCACTTGCGCCTTCAGATCTTCGTGAACACAATACAATTGCGGAGAGGAGGCTGTCAACGGAATAAAAATTGTTAATTAAGTGAATCACCATACAACTAAACAAACGCGCTCTTCTTGATTAGCTATCAAAATAGTGGGGGTCGCTACAATCCATCGGTTGCTCCCTCTGCGCCTAAGTTGTAGATATTAGGTTTCAGTGAGAACTTTGAGTACATGAGGAGATATTTTGTAGTGGAGGAGATGACCCGGCGAGTAGAATAGGAAGATTTGGAGAGGCTGCGATGGGCAAAGCAGTTAAAATCGGGATTTTACCTAAAATAAAAAACTGGGGTAAAATCAAAATCGTATAATCGAATCGTAAAATCGTAGGATTTTAAGTACCATATAGAACATAGCATATAAGAATATTAATAAGGTCAATTATTAATATCACAAAGACACATAGCATTTAAAATGATAATTCAGAAGATTTTTTTTTCCATAAGATAATTCTCAATATTAATGTTCCAAAATCACTATTTTAATTGTTATTTAATGTGTAACTCAAAATAATTCATGATGAAGGGATATAGTTCATGGGTTTGGCTCTTATTTTCATGTTATGTCTAGGTTGTTTAACTCAAAGTAATATTTCGACATCGTCTACTAAGTATGATTTAAAACTAAAAATAATTGAACTCCAATAAAATAAGTAATGTTAGTGGCTTGGTACAAATATATTCATTAATAAATTAATTAGTTAATAATGATGTTAGTTCTTACATACTTTCAATATTAGGACAGGTGTTTTACCAATAAGTTAAATGGGGTGAAGGGAAAGAGATTAACCGAACCCTAATTTGGTTATTTTTATTATTTTTGAATATTTTTCTAATAGAAAAAATATCTGAGAAGATTCCATTGCCCTTTCCGCTGAAACAGTTATACTTATTTTAAATTGGCTCAAACCACCTATTTTGTTCTCTTACGATCAAAATCCCGATTTCGGTACTATTTTACGATTTTAACGATTTTAGTCCCGATTTTAAACGATTTTAAGGCCCACCGATTTTATAGTAAAATCAAGATCGGAATCCCTAAGTAAAATCCTAAAATCCTACGATTTTACGATCAAAATCCCGAATTTGACTGCATTGGCGATGGGTGCACGATTAGTGGGCCAAATAACAGTTTGGGCCCGTTTAAATGAAAACATATTTTTACTTTCGTGCTCAACAGACCGACCGCACTGGCATCTTCTAAATTTACCCCTAAAAATTGCTCTGTACGCATCAAATTTGAAATGGAATCCCTCTTTTCTCATTTCACATTTCACATTTATATGATGTGTAGATTGTGATGAGTGTAGATGTAGACCTGTCATTGTCCTACAAATTCATTAACACGCCAAAAAGTGGTGAAATAAGCCACCCTATTAAACACAATATTGTATAATGATCATTGGATCCAATCATGCCAGATTATGAAGAAGTTTAAAATGTAGCGGTTATCCCGACTAAAACATTAAAAGAACCAGTCTCATATAGTTTGCACAAAGATATAATTTCTCCATAGTAATTCTGAAAAATAATACTAATTTAAGAAGTCGATATTGCTTCTACATGTTTAATATTGCAATTCGATATGCAACATTCGAACCAGTGATATTTGGGCTGCAATTTTAGGGTTATCATATATTTATAAAATAGATAGAAATTTAAATTAAGTATTAAACTACAACTAAAATAATCAAAGTATTAAAACACCAAATAAGTACTTACGGGAGATTCAGTGGCCAACTAATCGTTAAAAAAGTCATATGATTTTCATAATTTAGGTTCGTGTATGTTTGAATTTAAATAGATACAACAAATATACTTGGTGTGATTGGTTATGGTCCTTGCTTGCCTTTAAAGAGACCAAGGTTCAAATCCCAGTGCATGCCTTTTTTATGAATAAATAAATAAGAAAATAAGTAATTGTGAAGACCAAAATGTCCTTCCTATAATCACTCTCGTTGCAGGAAATTTGAAATGGAGCAACAGTTTTCATCATTCGGCTTTTATTTATTATCTAGATTATCCATCTAACATCCTCAACTCCTTACTATAAGATCAAATCTAAAACCAACATTCATCTCCATATTTGCTTTACTTTTACAAAAGTTCAGACGTAGTACTAAAAACAACACTTGCGCAACTCAGAGCTTCACTTCCCGCTAGTATTTTATATTGTTGTAGTGTTCAGTCTTGTTCGATTTTGGTCCAAGAAACTCGGATGGCTTTGTTCAATCCTGCTCCACCACAACATACAATTATACATTACATATATATTGACAAACCTGGCTTCCTGTGCAAAATCAAAGCATGGAAAACCTATAAAAATTGCGATAAGAATTTAATGACTCCCAAAACGAATTTTTCTAAGATGATAAGAATTTTTTGTATACTTACACGTGGACTTGACATTTCTTGTTATAATTGAGGGACTTGCCCGCAATACTAGCCGAACCGGTCCAGAACGGGTCGCAACTAATCCGAGCCAAATAATACCGGCTTCCGAAGTTATACGGTTCGATCCTCACCCAAACCAGAATCACAGCTCTGAACCGCAACCGATTCTGTTCCAATTCGGCCAGATCCCTATAAATGGCCGCCGTCACATTCTCCCCGACGTCCGCTCCTTCCGCTCCCAACTGAATAAAAAAAGTCAGATCGTCCACCTTCGGGTCAACGCTCAACCCCGCAAACTGACGAGTCGACGCCAGCACGTGCCGGTCACGGGCCGGGCCCTCACCGCCGTCGGCGTGGTGATAAACGGAAGCCTCGACTCGGTACGGGTACACGGCCTGACAGCAAGGGAGCGAGTGGTCGAGATGGAGAGTGAAGGCCCAATTGGCTGTTAACCGGCCCAAGGCCGGCCCATTACTGGTGTTTGATTTTTTTATTGACACGAAGGCTGAAACGACGTCGGCGTTGGGTGAGTAGGGTGCCAATTGGTCTTCTATCACGTAATAGATGGGAATGCCGATGAGCAGGAGTACGCCGAGGACGGTGGTGACACGGAGACAGCGGGGTGAACAATCAAATACGGGTTCTGGTTTAACGTCGTTACAATGATCGTTATCAACCGGCGGCGAAGGTGGCAGGGATGTTGTTGATGGCGGAGGCGGAGGATCGGTGGGTTTGGGGAAGACGACGCCGGCGGCGGCGTACGTGGGTTTGTTATGGTGTTGTGGCAACAATGGAGATTCGGGCTGGCTACCCATGTTTGAGATGCAGAAGCTAGCTAGAAGAGATGAATTTGGTTAATATGAATTTTTCATAAGCGTGATCAGCAAACGGGGGCGATAGTAGAGGAGAGGACAGGGCTTCTTTGTGCGAGTAAAAAGGGAGAAATAATCTTCCTACATCTTTCATCTTTGGTAATATGTGTAAAATCCTGTAAAGCTTAGAGTTTTTCTTGTTCTTGTCTTAATTGAGACTACCCCCAAATTTTTAGAAAATATTTTGGTAAAATATGTCCAAATTTCGGAATAACGATAATGAACAATCTTTTTAGAAACCGCAAATTATGAGTTTCTGACTCTGTTTAGGTTAGTTGATATTTAAAGTGGAATCGATCATGATAATTTCTATATAAATAAAATAATAAATTGATACTAGACGCTAATTCACTAAAAAATATGCAAATGATAAAAAAAAAATAAACGTACACACTACTCATCAACAACAAAGACGTCATCCAAAAAAAGAGGTAAAAAATAGAAAGAATAAAATAATGTATCCGTACTTACTATAGATTTATATCAATACAATTTACACCAATATTCAATGACACAAAAGATAGTGCATCTTGATCAGTTCTTCCATCCCAAGCTAAAAGCGAAAAAGAAAGAGGGGAAAAAAAGAGAGAGCAAAAGCACAAATACTAACTTCTTCATATACTCACAATATATGCATACTAAGCCAAAGTAATGCCTTTTTGTCACAATATTCTACTTTTCCTAATTAATATAAGCATACATATATGTTGAGGAAATAATTAACCTCAATGTCAGCCACACAGAAAAATAATAATACACATTAAAGAAAGCCATTACACTATTATGTTGACGAATACATGCTTCTCTACTTATACTATTAAGTCTATAACATAGTTGGATCAACCATAACTCTCAATTTCTCGCAACTTCAACAATCCATCTGACGACTCGAAAGAAAAGTTAGAGAAGGGGGAGAGCTACACAACAATAATATATAGGATAATGATCATGAAGCATATTGAAGCGCATGCAACATGGTAATAATTAGCTGGTAAGGCAACTGCATCGTTAGCGTGAGAGCTAGGAGCCGGCGCTGGCGCCAGTGAAACTGGCCGTGCTTCGACGTTGACAGCAACTTTCATGCCGCCCCAACAGTAACCGCCGCCGCTGATGAAGTAATAGGGCCTCGCCTCGGTGAGCTCCACCACGTCCCTCCCTCCCTTCGTTATGTTCCTCGCGAACCCTTTCTCCTCGCACCCGTCGTAGCTCGTCTTGTTCACCTCCAGCACATTGTAGTACCGCTTATCGAACACGAACACTAAATGCAACCCCAAGCAGAACAAGATACATTGTTGTTGTTGAGATCAATTCATGTTTACGTGTAGCATAATGTGATAGCCAAATTGAAAGAGTAGTGTAAGGTAAAAATGCAACGTTAGTAGTAATTAGTACTAGGAAGGAAACTCACAAAGCCAGTCGCCGACGTAGAAATGGTGTTGAGTAGACCATTGAGTGTAGTTGAAGTTTGGGATCCATCCTTTTCTGCTTCCGACCTTCTCAAGGACTGAGCTCTCACCGCTTCCGGCCATGATGATCAATATGAGGACTATTGCTCCCGCCATAACCATCAGCTTCATATTGTTCTCCTTCTTTGCTTTCTATCTTTTCTTGTCGCGCCTTTAATCTGTTTCACTCTCTCAAGTCAGGAGTCACGTACGACCTGCTAGTTGTGGGATTGGCGTGGGGATCGAGCATTTTGCAGGCAGAGTAAGGAGGAGAGATGATCGATCGAGTAGAGCTTTTCTTATTTGGCTTCAGCTTGAAACTAGTCTGCGTGCTGCACATGGCAGTGGTTATGCTTTATGGTCAAAAGAGAAGTGATGAGGTACGTACGTTTAGTAAAAGTAAAATGAAGAGGATATGTCATGTGATATGATATCCATCCTTCTCCTTCCTGTGTACCTGATGCATGAAAACATGCATATATAGTTCTCTTTTGTGCTTTACGTATGCTCTTTTAGCTGTTCAAAGCTAGTGAGAGTAGTTAGAAAAAGAAATAAGGTTCCAAAAGAACTACAGAATGGAGGAGTGGATTAGGTGTGTCTTTTCTTTCCAGAATATAAATGATTTCAAATGGAATTTGATTAATAAATTAATTTATGACAATCAAATCATCATCTTTAGTGTAGTGACAAAATATTCTTAGAAGTTTTCTTGGAAATTGCAATTGTTAGTGTTGTATTTGTTAAATACATGCATTATCCACGATACAAAAGTGATAAATTGCAAAATAGTTCGTGTATTGTTTTGTGTGGGCCCCACCTACAATCAACAAAAATGAGTGATTGTACAATCTGAACTAGAATCTGTGATTGTTATGATTGTTGGTTTAATGATATTATCCCCTTTTCTTTTCAAATTTATATCCATAATTTCTTTTGTTTTATATTAAAAATGGAGGACAAATGTGACTTTTTTTATAAAGTAACTTTGTCACAATCAATTCGTAAATTATAATCTCAACAACCAAACAATATAATGTCAAAATGCATCTATAGTACCAATGCACCAAACAATGTAACGTACGCAACTTCTAAACGACCGTTAATTGATGAAGCCGACCTTTCTATCTCTCTTTCTCTCTTCAAGTTGGGAGGGTTGGTATTAGGGTACGACCGAATGGGTACATAGCTACTGATTTGGTTGGGTTGTGCGAGTTAATAAGGATGATTAAACAATTTTTTATTAATATTTTTATCGTCGTGCCATACGGTCTAAGTAAAAAATTGCGGAGATTTAGATGGGAGTAGACAGATTGATCAATTCGTTATTCACTCAAACTTGTTTCATCGTAAACAAACAAAATTAAAGAATTGAGACTATTTTTATACAAAATGAATAGGTTTGTGACGATTTATAATAATTAGCCTTACTTTAACAGTTCTATTCCATTCCCATAAACTCTACAAAATTTCACCGCAAAGTTCATCTGCTGTTTACCGCCGGCGAGGCGCCACCTGGGTCTTCTCGCTTGCGTCACAATCTGCGGACTCGACAATGGCCGCTTCTCTGACGCGATCCTTAATTTCCCCCCTCACGAGCCGAACCCCTGCTAAACCCTCGCGCTCCGATCAATCGCCGCAGCTGCTAAGACGGCGCTCCTGCGTGTCGGTGCGAGCCTCCACATTCGGTAACACCAATTCGTCTGATGGAGCTGTTCCCGCTGCATGCAATGTGCTTACCCAGGATTCGCCTCCGAGTAGGGATTTTTCTTACTTTAGATTTGGCTTCGATTTTCTCTCTTTTGTATGATTTTCGTTGGAGGAATTCAATTCGATTGCTGTTCTACTGCTCGTTTTCAACAGGGCGTTTGACGTCGGCGCCAGTGCCTAATTCAGAGTGCGGTGGTTCTCCCCTCCGCGTTGCTTATCAGGTTTGCTGTCGCTTTCTGCATTTCGATATGTTGTTTCTGATGAAAGAGGGATTTTCTCTACTTGATTTCGTGTTTTTACTGAAATGCAAATTTGAATGCAGGGGCTCTGTGGGGCACATAGCGAATCTGCTGCCCTGAAGGCATATCCCAACTGTGAGCCAGTGCCTTGCGATCAATTCGAAACTGCATTTGAAGTAAATTTCTCTTCTTTATGATGTTTCTTTTACTGGGATGTCCGATTTTGCTTTGATTGTCCTATGTGAACGTAGAAACTTGGAACTTATCATGCTTTGAATTAATACCGAGGACCTCAAATTAGGCTTCTCTTGCTCACTGTTAGGTAAAGCCACACTTTTTATTTGCTATGGGTGGGAGTTGGAATTCAGTTTTCAGTGGTGCACCAATGTTAGTTTGTTATCAATTTACAGATTTGTGATTTATATATGAAACTCCATAACACCAGAGTCTTAATTTGTACATCTGTATTATCTCTGTGGATGTGATTGTGCACGGCCTTTTGACATTAACCTTCACAGGCTGTTGAAGCTTGCTCTGTGGACAGAGCTGTGTTACCCATCGAAAACTCTTTGGGTGGGAGTATTCACAGAAATTACGACCTTTTACTCCGACACAGGCTACATATAGTGGGAGAAATAAAATATGCTGTTCGTCATTGCTTGCTAGCAAATCAAGGTGTTAAAGTTGAACACTTGAAGAAGGTTCTAAGTCATCCCCAGGTATGTTGCTGAATATATTGTTGCATCGATTCCTTCTCACGATATTCAGCTCAACCAACTGGAGGATTTACTGGAACATATTTCAGGCACTTGCTCAATGTGAATATACGTTAACCAGGTTGGGATTGGTTAGAGAAGCAGTGGATGATACTGCTGGTGCAGCAAAGGTAAGATGAGATTTGATGTGTTTCAGGTTTTGGTTGGTTTGCACCATCCTTGCATTTACGTTTGGGATTGTATCGTTGGAACTGCATTGAGTGGCTAACCTAATCCCGGATTTATTTTTATTCTTTTTCCTCTCCGACTTTGCTGGGATTGAACTCCCTGACCTCAGCATGTTGCACTCGAGAAATTGGAGGACACAGGAGCTGTTGCTAGTTCCGCTGCAGCTGAAATCTATGGCCTAGATATATTAGCAGAAGACATTCAGGTTCAGCAATTTTTGTATTAATTCCTGATGATGTTTTATGTTGATGCTAAAACGGCAGTTTGTAACTGTGCTCCTATTCTATTAGGATGCCTCTCTCAACGTTACAAGATTTCTGATGTTGGCGAGGGAGCCCATAATTGCAGGCACTGATCGTCCCTTCAAGGTTAACATGACAGTAATTGTATTGGTATTTACTGTTGCCTGACTAACCTGACAGGTAGGGATCATGATAACATTGTTTCTTTGGTTTTCAGACGAGCATAGTCTTTTCACTTGAGGAGGGCCCTGGAATACTTCACAAGGCTCTTGCAGTTTTTGCAGAGAGGCAAATCAACCTCACGAAAGTAATTTTCTTCTTTGCCCCTCATTCCCCGCCAAAAAATTTTGTATGCTATATGCATGTTCATGATTTTGGTCCCTTTGTTCTTTGTTTTGAACAAGATCGAGAGCCGCCCTATGAGGTGGAGTTCTCTGACATCTCCTGGAGTAGGTGCCAGTGGACTTCAGAAGTAAGTTACTGACAAATAGCTGGTTTTCTGTTTTTAGGCCCCTCAATTTAACTCTTTATCTTGTTCATGCATTAGTAGTATGGTTTTTTTGCAGATGCTTTCATTATCTGTTCTATGCCGATTTTGAGGCTTCAATGGCTAGTGATGATGCTAAAATGGCCCTGCAAGATCTGGAAGTGAGTCTTGTTTTTCCTTCACAAGCTTTTCTGTTGCACAATGATTCTTGTCCCTCATTGCATGTTGGACTTGCCTTGCCATGAAACGCGTGTTTATATCCTCTGTTTGCAGAAGCTCGCAACATCCTTGCGGATTTTAGGGAGTTATCCAGCTGATACTACCATGCCATGACGACACTCCTGGAATACAGTAAGTATTTACCCGATTGATTGCTTTGCATATGCTTCATTTCTTCAGTTCTTAAGACGACACTCGGAAGTCCATTCGTACCACCGTAAATCTTCTTTGGTTCTGGTTGCCAATGCAGGTGATGACCGGCCATGAGCCGTAACCAATCCTCCCTACTTCTGATTTTGCCTTCCCCGGTACAGAATGTTTAGCTGCAGTTTTTGCAGAGATGATTAGATGCACTAGTGTGTGATGGATCACCCAATGATGGCCACCACCATGAACACCCTTCTTCGTACGTGGCTAGAGGGCCGGCCCAACGTAGGAGTACTGCTGCTGCTGTCATAGGATAGCTTTGATAATTGTTTTTGGTAGGATCACTGTCACCCTAAGTGATCTGTTCTTGGTTGATTCTTAGGTGAAACGATCACCTAAAGTGACCCCTGCATAGCTGTTAGGGGCGGACACCATTAAGCGATTCTTGGATTGGCCTTTGAGAGTAGAGATCATCTTAGATCTCAGGAGAGCGGATAGTATCTTCATTGCAATCGAATCCCAGTCATTAAATTTTCTAGAGCAGATAATCTTAGGCCAGTCCAATTTCTTTGATTACAAAAATAAGTGCATGCTCAATTCATGCATAATTACGGGAGATTAAGCCAATCCAACCGAGACACCCGTAATTTAGTGTCTGTACCAAGTTGGGACAACTCATTTCTGGTCTGGTACAATGAAAGTAATGACCCTGAAGCTCGTTGGGAGAGACAATGCTTGTTTGGGTTAACAAGATGCCTAGTACTGTTGCTCATTTCTCTTTGGAGGAAGGAGTATCAGTATGGTTATGTACAATCTCCTACTTTTGTTCTTGTTTTGCATAAATAGGTTGAAATAAAAAACTTAACATCATAAACAGACAAAAGAAAACATATATCAAATAATGCTACAAAATGGTGGTAGCTAGTCGCACTCATGGCATCCTGTCCACCAAATAAGCATCATATTATAAATAAATAAATAAATAAATAAATAATACATTTCTTTAGCTGCCTTTATATGGGCATTATTATTATTGAATTTGTTTGATTGTTGGAAGTTGTTTTATTTTCCCCGGAATTTCTTTGTTTGTTCACCTGCCTGCCAAGTTGCCAACTGCGGCTATATATGGGTTAGAGAACAGTCGGGCCCAGAAGGAGTGGATAATGTTTTGAGCCCAATCAAGCATTAGCCCTAGCCCGTCGGAATAAGAGCGGCGCAGGCCTCATTATACTCGCCTCCTCGGTTACCATGTCCCTTCCAAAGCTGCTCCAATTCAACTTCTTCCTCTCCAACCCCAACTCTGCCAATTCACAACATTCCATCGTCCCCAAAAACCCGTTCACCGTAGAGTGCCGCCAGGCCGCCGTTCCTCCTCCTTTCCCCGAGAAATGGATCGATAACAGTTGGGGAACGAAGAAGACGTTACAGCTGCCGAAATATCAAAACCAGGTAAATGATATTGAAGAGTTCCCCCCACTGGTCACCCCGGGGGAAGCCAGGAGTCTCCATGACAGACTGGGAGATGCTGCCTTCGGAAAGGCTTTCCTTCTCCAAGGCGGCGGGGATTGTTCAGAAGAGGGCTTGAAGGAATTCAATGGTGATCGTATCAGGGACACTTTCAGCATCTTGCTTCAGATGGCCACTCTTCTCATGTTTGGCGGACAAGTCCCTATTATCAAGGTCAGAATTCTGATTTCCCAGACTAATTAACTTCAGCACCCTTGTTAAAAAGGAGATGGTTTAATTTTTATTATTGTGTTAGGTGGCGAGAATGGCTAGTCAATTTGAGAATACAAGCTACAAGAGGGACAATTTCAATGGTGATGAGTCAAGGATTCCAGATCCACATAAGATGATCAAGACATACGGCCGATCTGCAGCCACGCTCAACCTGCTTAGAGCATTAGCCACTGGAGGGTTTGCTTCCATGAAAAGGATTACACAATGGAATCTCGATTTTGCTGAGATGGGAAATAGGTACCAAGACTTGGCGAATCAGGTTGATGAGGCCTTGGGGTTCATGGAAGCTGCGGGAGTACCAAAAGAACACCCCGTTATGGCAAGAGCAGAGTTCTGGACTTCCCATGAGTGCTCGTTGCTGCCATATGAGCAATCCCTTACGAGGTTCGATTTGGCAACAGGACTCTACTACGATTGCTCTGCTCATATGCTGTGGTGTGGAGAGGGAGCTACTCGACAACTCGATGGTGCCCAAGTAGAGTTCCTCAGAGGAATCTCCAATCCTCTTGGCATAAAAGTATGTGACTTCGTTGTTGTGATAGCATTTTGGCCTTTCACTACATCAAAGTAGTAATGCTAGGAAAGACCTGTACTTGTGATGCACAGGTGAGCGACAAGATGGATTCGAGGGAGCTGGTGAAGCTGATTGACATCTTAAACCCTGCCAACCTGCCGGGGAGAATAACCATCATAATCAGCAGAATGGGTTCGGAGAAACTGAGAGTCAAGCTTCCAGAATTGATCAGAGCTGTGCATGGCTCCAAACAAATCGTGACATGGATCTGCGATCCCATGAATGGAAGCATCAAAGCGCCATGTGGACTTAACAGTACTACCCGTCCGTTTGATCGTGTTTTGGTATGTTCATATCAAAACCCGTCGTCTCGTTTGGTATTTGAGCTAGGATACATCGAAGATGGTAATTGTTCACCGGATCATATGATCCATCTTATTATTTGTTGTCTCTGATTCAGGCTGAAGTAGGTGCCTTTTTTGATGTCCATGACCAAGAAGGAAGCCATCCGGGAGGAATCCACCTCGAGATGACTGGCGCCCAACATGTAACAGAGTGGATTGGAGGATCTTGCATGGTCACTTCAGACGATTTGAGTTCTGGTTACCGTGCCCACTGCAACCCTAGGCTGAATGCTTCTCAGTCTCTGGAGCTCGCTTTTATTGTAGCAGAGCGACTCAAACATAGGAGGTTTCGAGGATGTAGCCACCAACACAGCAATTAACCCTCCTCGACACTATGGTAATCATTGTATATCATTCTTCTTTAAACTTACAGTGTTTACCCTATACTTCAATTACCTCAAGTATATTTAAGAAATAGCTTCACTTCTGCCTCCATTTGAGATTGAGGAAAAGTTTATTGAATTTGTTTCACAGTTGAAGATTTAATTTTTTTGAAGAATTGTAAAATTACAGTGGAGGTTGTACCACTAGCAGTCTAGCACAATAGGATTTCAAAGAACACTGATTTTCTCGAAATTTTTTCTTGATAGCTCGCCTTCCAACTTGATTGTGTTGTGCCACACTGCCACTGCCAATACATATGGGCTGGATAACAATTAGGCCCGCAAAGGAGTAGGTAATGTTTTGACCCCAATCAGAAAGGCATTGATGTCCGGATGGACTGCTAGGTCTGCTCTGCAGAAAGCTCATTGATTTCTTAGCGGACTCCGTTTAGTTGTTATCAAAAATCAAAACCAAACCCAACCGACCGGATTTGACTGGGGTATTATATGAATGGTTCGACAAGTAATTTGGTTAATAACAACTAACTATTAAACGGTAAGCCACTAACTTATTGGTTTGATCATCCGGTCCGATTCAACAACACTATTATAGAAAATTCGGGTTAATTGCATGGTTGGTCACTGAGATTACAAAAAAACGTTCAATTTTGGTCATTGAAAATATTTAAATCAATTTGTGGTACTTCAGTTTATTGAAATCATTCACGTTTGGTCACTCTCCGTCCAACTCTGTTAACTTTTACTTACGTGGCAGTCCACCCTAAAAGTTGATCGTTAAATGTGTGACGTGAGAATTTTTAAATAATAAATTAATAAAATTTAATCTTTTAAAATTTCCATCTCATTTCTAACTATTAAAAATAAAACAAAAAACTGTTGAAGACCGAATCACTCCTTCTCTGCTTAATTTTCAGCTTTTCCTCCATCGGGCGTTGGAAGGAGAGTGACCAAATGTGAACGATTTTAGTAAACTGAAGTACCAACAATGGATTTAAATATTTCGAGTGACCAAACTTGAACATTTTTTTTGTAATTTCAGTGACCAACCATGCAATTAACCCTAGAAAACTTAGCAAACAATTTTTCAACTTTTAGTACCACCAATGTAAAGTAATATATGATGGGAAATAAAATAATGAGAGGAATATCTGTTACAAGTTAATAAATACTCCTTATAATACACATATATGTACCCGTACATATTTTATCCGTTTAAAACTTTCGTATCCGTATTATTGTCAAACAGCTTCATTTATATTCGTTCATTTGATGACTCCCGTACTAAACATGTACAAAACCCGTATAATACGTTTAATATCCGTATTTAATGAATTAAAATGTTAACTTTACTATTATTTTATTTATTTATTTTTAACATAATTAATTTTATATATTTACGACTATTAACGTACTATTAAATATAAGATTTTCTCAGAGACAAAATATAATATCTATACGTATTTTATACATAACTTCCACTTACGGTATTTTACTATTATCTGTTACAAGGAATAATTAGTCAACACTAGTTAGTGCTTTCATGGGGAAGTAGTGGGGACGTGTATGATTCATCAGGGGTGCCCCAGAAATGAAAGTCATTCTTATCCTTAATCACCGCCCATGATAGTTGCCAACTACCCAATATGTGAACCCCATCGCTCCATAATCCAACAGGGATCAATAATGGAGACGGAAAAAAAAAATACAGAATCTTCCAGTTGGCAATCTTGGTGTATTGGTCTGATAGCGACTACCCATGTTCCAGATTTTGTGCTGTAATTGCCAACCAAACATTCCTTTATTTATTTTGTAAGAGAGACAAGATGTTAGCTTGAGGATACTTTTGATGTTGGTGAGTCTTGTTTGGTAAAGAATGTGAACTAGCTTGACCAAATTCGAAAGGGTTTCAGATGACTTGAAGTCGCATTGAACGAAATTGTGAGTGTTTTACTTCAAGACAACAATTTTTCATCGTTAGGAATCGTGTTCTTTAGTAGGTTGTGCAGGCAACATAATAGAGGAGTTTGCCACGTCGTTGGTACTAAGTCAAATGCTTGATGTCGAACACTATAGTATAGTATGAACTTAGAACGGAACTGCAAATTCAGCTAAAACAACTCTGATCCCTTCGCTATAGTCACACCCATGATCATTCAAGAACCTCTCATGCAAGCAAATTTCAGACACACCACCGTAAATCGTAATCAACAAGAACCCTACTACAACGGCAAATCAATGTTGATACCTCAACGGCCAAACCAGAGTTCCCCTGTATTCAAGCGACAACCCAACAATAGTTCACAAACACCAGATCATTAGCTTCCTATCATCTGCTGGATGAAGTTGTCATACAAAGCACACAGCAGACCAGAAAGCTCAACTAGAACATCAACAAAACAATGATCCAGCTTTTCACGTCAGTGGACACCATAAATAAACACTAGACCCAGCACCACCCAGATAAGTAACAAAAAGAAGGTTGAAGTAAACAAATTAAATAATGCAGAGAGAAGTGCTCAAATTTAACCACCAATGCCATTTCATCAGTGATGGTGGTGGTGGTTGTGTTGTTACATCCTCAATGTAGGTAGTACTGGCTAGGAAAGAAGAACAAATTTACTTCACTACCAGAGGTGGACAAAAGCATCCCACATCGCCCCAATGGCGAAAACAGCAGGCAGAACATAGGGCCGGTTGAGAATTGAGGAATGAGCATCGCTCTTGACGGGTGAGGCCTTTGGTGGAGGAGGCGGGTTCTCGACACGAACAGCGAGCTTCATGCCTCCATAGCAGAACCCTTTCCCGCTGATGAAGTAGTAGTGGCGAGTCACGTTGAGTGGAACCACATCTCTCCCAGCACCTCTGGTCCAGTTCTTGAGCGGGTGGTCGGCATTGCAGCTCTCATAGTCAGTCTTGTTCACCTCCAGCACGTTCATCTGGTTCCTGTCGTACACAAAAACTGCAAAAGCAAACACAAAAGAGTCTTAATTGTGGACTCAACTTTCCATCGGAAAGACCATTTAAGAAGAGGACGTGCTTCACGGTGCACAAGAGAAGAATTAGCTAGTAATAGTAGCAATACAACCCACAATAAAACCCTCTGATGGCTACACAATCAAGGGTATAAATCCGAATTAGTTTGCTCCGACGGATTCGTCAGAGAATTTGTGAAACCAGGGCAGCTATGCCTCAGGCTCCCAAAAGGGCACCAAGACATTGATGTTTAAGGGGGAGTTGCAGATCTGAAATTTGGCTAAGGAAGTGAAAAAAAAGTTCGTTTGAAATGGAAATGCCATGAATACTGAAAAAGCCCTCAACTTTAATTTCCAATTCACTCTTCCCAGATCTGTAAATGCGAATTCCCGAAATGGGCAACAATCTTTTAGCAGAAAGTAAGCAGCAGAGTCTTTGGACGGGCTTTCCGGAAGGTTAAGTAATATCGATCTGAAGTTCAATTAACGAGAATAAGAAATTAGAACCAGAAGGAGAAGGTTTAGAAAGAGGGGGACTTACAGAGCCAGTCGCCATTGTAGAACGTGATATTCTGAGCCCAGATAGTGTAGTTGACATTAGTAGTCCACCCCATTTTCGATCCAACAGTCCATCTCGTAGCAGAAACTTCCGGCACCACCGCGACCAGGGCGAATAGCACCGCCGCCAATGTCAGCAGCCTCTTCTCCATTGCTGTTCCTGCCCTCTCTCTGTCTCTGTCTGACTTGAGAACGCTCTTCTCTGGGCAGAGGACAAAAAATTATAGTAGAGACTAGAAATATCCAGAGACGCTGTTGTAACTGCTGCTTTTAAGAGGAGAAAGGAAAAGCCGATAAAGGAGAGAGTTTGTCCACTCTGTCCTGTGTCTGTCTGGATCTACAACCGCCGTAGAAGCAAGCAAAAAGATTATTAACGTTGTCTTTTGCCGTTAAGTTAAACAGAAATGACAAACATAGTCAAAGCAGGCGCCTGTCATTACAGAGACGACGACGGTTAAGCTTCCTATCCTATGTCTATGTGACACTTGCCTACGATTTCTAATTCCAGTGACCAGATCAGCATTTTCCCCCCTCCTCTCTACTGGCGCCATCGTTCTGTCACGGTAAACGCGGCTTCAATCATGGCGTATCCCCCTTCTCCTCCCTACTCTACTCACTCTGTGCTGTCAAAACTTATAAGACCTTCTGTCGGGTTCAAAACTGAGAAAGTCAATCATCACTCATTCCACTTTCAAATGTCGGATGCAGAGTTGACTACTGCTAGTTTTTGGTTCATCCTCACGCATCCAACTGATACAACGCATATTGATCCCAATTAATATCTCAAATGACAAAAAGGGGAAAGAAAGAGTCTCATCTATCGAATACCATTCATGAAATAATCTTCATTGCATCCTCACACATACTTATCAATCGAAAATCAAAGACCTAAAGAGGAAAGAAGAACCTCGTCTATTGGATATCATTCATGAAAACCAATATCTGCATTTTCATAGCATATAGGGTTTCTTCCCAATTTCCAGATCCAGTAATTCCTGCTCGTTCAATCTTTACATTGGAATACTATAAAATCTCACCTACCGTGGAAAACATTCAGAAACAAACTTGGTTTCACATCCTAATCCAACCTTCTCAATAAGTACTCAACTTGGACTTCCTTTGTGAGTGGCATGATCCATCTCCCATAGAGATCAGCAACCAAGTCTGGTTCAATCTTGTATACTGTTTCAGATTCAACTTTGCCTTCTTTCATTGTCACTTCTAGAGCAAAGGTCCTGGCTTTCAGCTCGACCCTCTCCTTTACTCTTTCCTCCACTTCTGGGTATGTTAACAAAGCCATCAATCCTTCTCTGTCCTACAAAGTTTCAACAAGTTCATCCAAAGATCAACATAGTAAGTATCTCGAGAAAACATATCGGGAACAAAACACCACGGTCTCTGGTTTTAAGGACCTACTTGCACTTCAATAGCAGTTTTATAGTCACTTGGGTTTGCTCGAAATTTGGACTCAGCTACAAATTTCCCATAATGAATTCTTTTAGAAAGAGCCTGCAATGTGAAAACCAAATTGTGTGAATCCTCCATCCAGGTGTTCAAAGAATAATGGTGCTATAGAACGAGGTAAGCTGCAAACCAACAATAAGTATAGCATTTCAGACAATACAGAATTTAAAACCGGTGGCATAATTCTTCAATAAAACCACAAGACCGTCCTACTCATATGTTTAAAGACCCATAGTACCTCAGTGATTTATATGGTTTCATGAAAGAGGAGTAAATAATATGATTACAATGTGGTCATCAAACTATACATTTGCATCACAATTACATCACAATTTACCTTAATTCATATAAAAACAACCTCTTTTCATAGCAAAAGTATCACTATTTTCCAGTTCTAGTATTCTAATACCAACACAAGAGTAGGAAGTCTAGCTCAATCAGAGTCTTAGCAACAAGACGACGAGAAAGGGTTGATTTAGAAACCTGGTGTGCCTAAGTTCTAAATAAGAACTCACACCAGGTCAGTTACTGCCTCATAATGTTAAGGAAAAACATTTTCACAATCATGACAGTACCACTATTATGCAAAAGATGACAGACAGCACTCTCAACAATCAACAAACAGAAAATGTTCAGAAGAGGAAGTGATCTTTTTCCCACGACAATAGTTAGTTACAACTACCCTAAAAGTGTGTTTATGGCTTTCCCCCTTGATCTAAAGTTTCTTGTTTCCCAAGTAATAACTACCCAATTACCTCCTCGCTGGACATGTTTTTGTACAACTCTCAGATTTTCACAGAAGAGAAGTCATCTACATGTTCAACTTCAATGTGTCTGAAATGGGGAAGGTAGATAGTTTGAAAAATGCACACCTGGAGGCAGATTGTGTCACATACTGCTGAGGAACCACAATTTCCATCATTTCCTAGCTTGACCAATCTCGGAAGTAGATCTTTAAAGTACATGTTCCATACTGTGTCGTTAATATTAATTGATTCAGCAACTTTATGCAATACCTGTTCGAAAAAGTCAAAACAAACTCAAATGAATAATTCAGGCAATCTATAGAGATAGCAGAGATGCTCTTAATACTATCGTTAATATAAACTCCAAAAGCATCAAGAAAACTAGAACTTCTAAAGCTCAAAATGGCAAATAAACAAATGATAGTTCTAATGAGATAGAAGGACCTCATGACTTCACATATCACATCATACCTTGGGATATTGCATTGGTGGCAACAATGGTTCAGGTAAATCATTTGGGAAGAAAGGATATTCATCGGGACTTTTGTATCTGCCTACCTGTTTTCCAAAATAGTGAAAACAGCATATTTTACACACTAGATGAATTCATTTCATCCCAAGATTATAAGTTTAGTAAAAGAAATGCACCTTGGCATGAAGCTTTTCAGTTTCTTTAAGGATGTATTCAACTAGAGAACCGTGAAAATCATTCATGGAAAAAACATCCGGATTATAGGTATCGGCATTGTAACAGTATTGGGATCTCTCCAAAAGGTTGTATATTATACTGTCTTCTTGCCGAATCAAGGAAAGCCTTACGCTTTCTAGTGTCAGAGTGTCACTTTCGTCCACCCTTTCCTTCTTCTCCAAACTACAAAGAAAGAACCCTCATATCACCAATAGGTTATGGAATCTAACCATAACCCATGGCCCTTTGAAACAAGAAGCAAAATAGCAGAACAGTAGATAGATATTTGGGAATTTTGGACCCAAGGTTTACTCAGACCAAGCCGTGATAAGTAAATGGTATCTCTAAATAGTCAATTGGGCATACTCCATCTAACATTTTCTCCATATACAGCACCAAACTCATGAAATCAACGTGCATTGCACAAAGAAGCAAACTGTTGTTCAGTTAGGCCTAGTCTAACTGTCAACGGTAGCAATCAATATTGGGGAAGAAATCAGGGGTGACATACCCAGCGGAGGAGTTGGCACAGAAAATGCGATGCTTGGCAGGACTTGAAGAGGACACTGAAACCGCTCGTGTTCTCAGAGAAAGACGGCAGCAAAGTGGGCTGGAGAACTTGAAGGCATCTGTAGTCGGAGCAGCTGCAATTCCAGGTGCAAAGTAAGCTCTAGGCAAAAGTTCGGCCTCCATCCTAGTCTCGGACGAAGGAGGAATCGAAGGAGGAAGGAAGGCAGCCTTGGACGCGAGAGAGTAACGGGTTTTTTTCTTTTTCTTTTTTCGGTGGGAGGGGATTTCAGGGGTGCCTTGTGATTGGAGTTGGTGGCTGAGCAGGGAGCGGAGAGGAGAGGGGTTAGGTGAAGAAGGTGACAGCAGATATTGATGCGAGAGAAAGAGGACAAGGAAGAAAACTGGAGGGATCCGTCGGGCAGCCTCGCGCGGCCACTGACATTCGCTGTCCGGCATTTTATTGGTCAATTCTTTTGTCTACTAATCAAGTTCCGACGATGAATACGGGCAACATCCACTTACACCGCACTGAGCTACCCAAAGAGATTTTACCAACCATACCAAGACCAACTATTTGTTTGATTTTGTTCCAAAATCGGGTTAATTGCATGGTTGGTTACTGAGATACAAACAAGTTCAATTTTGGTCACTCAAAATATTTAAATCCATTGATGATACTTCAGTTTATTGAAATCGTTCACGTTTGGCCACTCTCCGTCCAACTGCGTTAACTTTTGCTTACGTGGTGGTCAACTATAAAAGTGGTATATTTGGTTTGTGTCGATTCAACAAAAATATGTACAAATATGAAAAATCATTAACATATAAGGAATTTAATCATATATCGATCATAATTGAAGACAATTTACTTACAACTAATATTGATATATAAATAAAATGGGGTTAATTGCAAGGATGGTCACTGGGTTTACTAAAACCGTTCATGTTTGGTCACTGCAAATATTTAATTCTATTCATGGTCACTAAGATTGGTTTGTGTCATAAAGGATTCTGTTCAAAACTCTTAACAGATTGTGCGCTCTTTCTTGTGGAACACTTCAGAAACAAAATCAGATTAACTAAGCCTCCTTAGCAAGTACTCGACCTGCACCTCTTTGGTCAGAGGTATAACCCATCTCGCATAAAGCTCACGAACAAGGCTTGGATAGATCTTGTAAGCAGCCTGGGATTCCTCGTTCACAGCAACTTCTTCTGCCAACTTCTTGGCTTTCATCAGAACCCTTTCCTTCACATTTTCTTCAACTTTAGGATAGGAAAGTAGATTCATTAAAGCTTCCTTGTCCTGCAATATTACACAAGATGATACAATTGTCCAAAGCAATTACGGAGTGAAAAATCTTATCTCATGAACATACCACTGCAATTTGTTGTTATAAAGACTTGCCTGTGCTTTAATGGCAGCAGTATATTCCTTAGTATTTGCTGTAAATTTTGATTCGGCAAAGAACCTTCCGGTGTGGACCCGTTTAGAGATAGCCTGCAAGGATAACTCAAAATCATACGAATCCATAAAGATAGTCACACATTGGCTCAATACCATCCTAAGATTCTAGAGAAAATAAAACAAAAGCTTAGGTTGATAGCAAAAACGCAATGGGACATTCAAACAAAAAGGCTAGTCATAGAAATGGAGATTGGACATTTGAACAGAAGTCTTTCAATGTTTCCACAAAGAAGGAACAGGTTGATAACAAGCATACCAGCAGACAATTGGCGTCACGAACTGCAGAGCTAGCGTAGAATCCATCACTTCCTTCCTTAACCAAGTTTGGAAGTAGGTTTTGAAAGTAAACATCCCACATTTTGTGGTTAACATCAATTATTACCTGTTCAAAGAAGTTAAAAGAGTAAATAAATCGCATTTGAGACATCAAAATTTCCTGATATTATAGTGCTAATAGATAGAAGGAATTGCACATTCCATACGCATTGATTTGGTGGCAGAAACATATCAGGCAACTCTTTGGGAAAAAAGGGACGCTCGCTTGCACTTTCAAATCTACCCAGCTATTACAGAAAAGCACCATCAGGATCAGTCAAACATAAACATGTCAAGGACACATGAATGTATGAAAACCATGTAAAACTTAAGCAAAAGCATTGTACCTTGGCATGAAACATTTCGGATTCTTTCACAACATGCTCCACTAGGGAACCCTCAAGGCCATCCTCAGCGAAAGCATCCGCTTCATAGATAAATGCATTGTAGCCGTACTGAGCTCTCTCCGGTAGGCAGTAAATCGTGCTATCCTCTTGGCAAATCAGAGAGCGGCTAATCGATTCGAGGTTTAGAAAGTCCAACGAAGTTCTAAAGGTTTCCCGGTTGACAGTGTTGCCATATTCTTTGTCCGGACTACATACGCACAAGCTTCTCATTACAAATACGGTGTAGATTCTCAAAAGTCAAATTGGCAGAATAGAAATTGCGAGGGATTCTAACTTAATAGGCATACAGTACCACAAGGATTAACAACCAAAATAAAGGGCAGAAAACGAATCCTTCATGGGCGACCACGAACAATATTCAAGGCAAAAAGCAAAATCAGAAGCTCGCTATAGACGAAGGACTAAATCAAACACAAAGAAAAGCGAGATTGGAGATTCGGGAGGAACACAAAAGAAATAAAAAAAAAAAAGTAGAGGCAGCAAAATCGAGATACCGCCATAGACGCCTTGGATGAGTACGAACGAGATAAAGAACCAGCAAAAACATATTAACATACCCAGCAGCGGAGGACATAAAGCGACCTTTGCCGGAGCTTGCTGAGCAAATAAGCGCCGTGGAAATAAGTCGCGGTCCTAGAGAGACGCGGCCGGGAAGAGTCCTGGAGAATACGGTAGCAGTCGGAGGAGGAATCGATGGCCAGGAACGAAATGCAACGCAATAAACAGAAAAATCAGAAACCGGCTATAGACGAAGGACTGGAGCAAACACAAAGAAGAGCAAGATCGGAGATCCTGAAGGAGCACAAACGAAAGAAAAAACAAGAAGCAACAAAATCGAGATACATACCCAGCAGCAGAGGACGTAATGCCTCGCGGTCCAAAGGAGACGCGGCCGCCAAGTGCTCTGGAGAAGCCGGTTAGAGTCGGGAGAGCAATGGATGACCAGGAACGAAATGCAAGGCAAAAAGTAGAAAAAATTAGAAGCCGGTTGTAGACGAAGGACTAAAGCAAACACAAAGAAGAGCAAGATCTGGAGATCCTGAAGGAGCACAAACAAAAAAAACAAAACAAGAACCAGCAAAATCGAGATACCTACCCAAAAGCAGAGGACGTGATGCGAGGTCCTGGGGTTACGCAGCGGCGAAGTGTACTGGAGTATAAGGAAGTGGTTAAACACCATACACGGGTCTGAGCCTGTGCAAACTTCAAACTCATGAGTTGGCTTTCGTTTGAAGGTGCGTGTAAGGAAGTGGTTAAGGACCATATACAGACATGTATAAGATCCCACATAACCGTTTTACTAATCACTCGAGTTATTGAGACCAACTGATTTATGACATGGAAAATACAAACACTATAGTAGTCTGATCCACTCATCAGAAGCTTTGACTCCATTGCAGCAGAAAATGGAAAAACGAAGAGGAAAAGAAGGCAAAGGGTAGGAAATCAGAGAAATGGACGAGAGTCTAGGTGCTTTTGATTGTACTGAACGCTGGAGGGAGGTGGTTAACCGGCGAACAAAAACAGAGGGGGTGATGAGAGCGCAGAAAACTCGCTGTCCGGGTTTATAGGAGGAGAGTTTCTCTCTCCCAGTCCGTCCTATTTCACCCTTCTCTCTCCCGAGAAATTATTGTGTACACCGGGAGTACCACTTCAGCATGCTGATTTGGTACTCCCAGCCACTAGAAGCTCGCCACGTGTCTTTTAAATTAATTAAATCATTTATTGCTGGAAACGTTTTTATGTGGATTTTTAATTTCTTTTCTATTAATTACCTTCAATAAAAAAATAAAATACAATCAAAACAACGGGGTGTCTGCCGCTTCATCTCCCCAAACCCCACCGAACTCGTCCCCTCCGTAGCGCCGACTAAGAGCCGTCGTCTTCTTCTTTCGGAAGCACCAGATTCCTCACCGTCGTCTTCTTCTTTTAGAAACCCCGTCTTCTTCTTTTGGATCTCATCGTGCTAGAGACTGGACCCAATTCTTCCCGGCGGTGGCTCTCGGTGGCTGAATTAACGAGGTGGTTAGATCGCGTTAAAAATTCTTCCCGGCGGCGGTGGCTTAACGACGGCTGCTACAAGGCTTGGAGTCCTTATCTAGAGAGCTAAGGAAGAGGAATAGGGACTTTAATCGCCGCCTACTTTATTGTGGGAAGAATTTATTGCAGGTAGCCTGCCTGCTCCGCGGAAGGAAAGAAAAATGGGATTTAATGGAAGGCAATTAATAGAAAAAAAAATTAAAATTTCCCTAACAAAGTTTTCAACAGCGCATGAGTTAGTTAATTTCAATGACAAATGACCGGCTTCTAGTGGCCGGGAGTACCAAATCAGCATGCTGAGGTGGTACTCCCGGAGCACATAATAATTTCTCCTCTCTCCCAGTCCGTCCTATTCGTTTTCCGGGGTAGCTATTCGTTTTTGCGAAAATTAAAAAGTTACACAAAAATAATAAAAAAGCAATACACATGGGACAGTGCCCAAACATAGAAAGGTGGCCAGTCATATGCGTTTGCCTGACTTTGCTTTCCATTAGCTGCTTCTTGTTAATCTGACCTCCTATTAATTTCTTCTGCCGATCTGCAATATTCGAACCATTTATCATCATTATTATTCTTTCACACTCCTATTAATTTCTTCTGCCGATCTGCAATATTCGAACCATTTATCATCATTATTATTCTTTCACACACTGTCCCACTCCACCAACATGCCCTCAGCCCCATGGAGGAGAACATGTTCCTACAATAACAAACAAACTCCCCTTCTGTTTCCTACTAGCTTAGACAGACTCCCATTTTGCAACCGTGCTTAGTTACATATCAATAGAATAGAAGCCCGCACTTCGTGGCCGGATAATCAATCTCCATGATATGCGATTTGAGAAAACACGGATGCTAGATATTAGAGGGAGGATCTGCTAAATGATAAGCAAAGTTTAGTGCACCCGTTATTGTACAAGGCAACATCCGTTAAATATTAAAGAGAGTAGCACCACATCCGATTCACTCCAACGTGCTCTTAAACCGTGCAAATAAAATGATTTGACATATTCGAGAGAAAGTTAAGATAAAATCAACATTCCCGACAAATCTTAAATTATCAAGTAGACGTTTGGTATCTGTTATTTATGAGAAAATGAGTTTGCAAGTAAATCCCTCAATTCCATCTTGCACATGAGAAATTGGAAATAACGATTCATGAATATCATTTGCACAATGTTGGATTAACTACAAATGTGATTC